CAGGTCTGAGCCATGCTGAAACCCAGACCTCAGAACTGCATCCAGGTCTCCTATGTGGGTGGCAGGGGCCCAAGTACTTTAGCCATCTTCTGCAGCCTTCCCAGGAGCATTAGCAGGGAGCAGAGCAGCCTGGACTCAACCAGGTGCTAGGATGTGGGATACCCATGGCACAGGCATAGCTTAGCTCCCTGTGCCACAACCCTGGCTGGTGCCTTTCCTTTTCTAAGATGCTGTGTCTCCTTCTAGGGATCCTGGAGGCCTCTCTTTTTACCTTTGAGTTCTAGTTGATTTTTTTTGTGGTTATGTGTATGTTTTAGTTAAAGATAATTTAGACATTTTATCCTAGGACTAAATTAAAATTAGAAATAAGGGGAAAATCCTAGTGCAAGGTGGAACCAGTGATTATCAGTTGAAAAGAGGAGCAAGTTGTTGGGGCAGAAGGGTGCTCCCAGTTTCCTCTCTCTCCCCCTCTCTTTCTTGAGAGAGGGGGACAGAATGCCTGCAAGAGCCCACCACCTGGTTCATTGCCCAGATGCTCACAACAGCAGAGTTTGAGCCAGGTTCAGTTGAGAACTCCTGGGTCTCCCACATGGTGGCAGTTGGGCCACTACCTGCGGCTTCCTCGTGTGCAGGAAGCTGGAATCCGGAGCGCCCGCTTCCCTCGGGGTGCGAGCTCTTGACCTTGAGAGGACACCATCTTTTTTTTTATTTTTTTTATTTTTTTTTATTTTTTTCTTTTTGACAGGCAGAGTGGACAGTGAGAGAGAGAGACAGAGAGAAAGGTCTTCCTTTGCCGTTGGTTCACCCTCCAATGGCCGCCGCTGCAGCCGGCGCACCGCGCTGATCCGATGGTAGGAACCAGGAGCCAGGTGCTTTTCCTGGTCTCCCATGGGGTGCAGGGCCCAAGCACCTGGGCCATCCTCCACTGCACTCCCTGGCCATAGCAGAGAGCTGGCCTGGAAGAGGGGTAACCGGGACAGAATCCGGCGCCCCGACCGGGACTGGAACCCGGTGTGCCGGCGCCGCAAGGTGGAGGATTAGCCTAGTGAGCCGCGGCGCCGGCCGAGGACACCATCTTAGTTAGGTCCCAGGGCAGGTGGGAGGTGGCTTGCGGACTGGGAGGGAGCGGAAGCAGGCGGGGTCTGGGCGGGGTCGCCGGCGCCCGGGCTGCGATCGCTGGGCTGCAGCCTGCTCGCCGCTGTACCCACCCGGGACCTTGGGCTCTGAAGTCCCCGCCGTTGGCGCGGGCGGGTGAGTGGGCGTGGTGGGATCGCGCTCGCGGCGGGAGAGATAGATGGACTGGGGCTTGTCCCGGACTCTGCTGCTCTTCTCAGCAGGCGAGATGGCGCCTTCTAATCTTGGGGGAGTTCCAACCCCTGGGATCCCGCGGGGAAGCAGGGGCGTGGCCGCGCGTGCTGTCCTTGTCGTCCACGCTGGGGCCTTGGAACCGAAGCGGGGCTGCTGGCTCGGGCCGAGGGAGTCGGGGCAGGGGGCTTCGGGCGGTGCGATCCCGGCCTGTGGAACCATTTCGGAGCACACGACCCCATTCAGTAAGCGCTGGGAAGCTCCTGCAGTGCCACCCAAAGGGGCGAAAGAGCCCCCGTTTTTGCTGGCCAGCAGCCGCCAGGCCGAGGTGCGCCCTGGCTGGAAAGGGGCCTTGGAGGCGGAGGGCGCTAGCGGCTGGAGTCCCCGGGCTGGGGCGGCGCCGGAGGGGCCCGTGAGACCCCTTTGGTGTGCTGGGTCGTTTTCAACACTGCTGGGGGAAGCCGCTAAAGGGGTGTGGAGCTGGAGGACTATGGACGGGAAGATGGCGCCACATTCCCTTCGGGGATTACCGCCTGGAAGGGTGGGACCGGCCCAGATACAGATAAGTCTGTCCCAGATGACTCCTCAGCAGTCACACACGTCCTCCTTGCGTTGGCCCTCACGGGTGAGCTCCGGCGCCTGTGGGTGAGGGGCAAACCGTGGGCGGCGATGCAGGGCACTGCAGCCGCCAGAGATTGAACCTTGGTGGAGCTTAGAATCCGCCCTGAGCGCCGTTTCCACCATCCGTAGTGGCCTTGAAGACCAGGGACGAAGGCAGGGGTCTTCCTCGCTGGGGAGGACGCTGCTATGGAGGCTGTTTGCTGTGTGCGTGGCTGGAAAACGGGAGAGTAACCCTGGACATGCACGCCTCACAAAATGATTGTGAAGTGTGTTGGCAAGGGAAAATGACATCAGTGCGCGGCCCTCCTGACAGCTCCTGAGGGTTCAGTTAACTCTGCTCCTCAAACAGCCTTTTCCTTGCTGCCATTTGCAATTCCATTACTCTCCACAAAAAAATGAAAGAAAAAGTCAACAGGTTTTTGTGTCGTTCACAGGAGGGAGAAGAGATTAGGTGAGTTGCTGTCAGCAGGAAGAGGCTGCAGGTCCAACGAAGTGTTTGCTTCTGAGCCGGAAGTGCCGGTGCAGGAGCAGGGAGCTCATTCCTGGCTCTTGTGAGCCCTGAGTAAGTGACTGGTGTTGGGTGGTTACCAGTCTCATTCTTTGCAAATATCTGTCTATACAGTCAGTGTCTGACTTTCCAATTTTGTTTTTTTAAAGGTTTATTTGTTTGAAAGTCAGAGTTACAAAGAGAGAGATCTTCCACCTGTTGGTTCCCCCCTTACATGGGCCAGGAGCCAGGACTTTCTAACAGGTCTGTGTGCGTAGCAGAGGCCCACACACTTGGGCCGTCTTCTGCTGCTTGATTTTCCAGGCCATTAGCGGGAGCTGGATCGAGTGGAGCTGCCAGGTGTGCCCATATGGGATGCCGGCATTGCTATGCCGCAACATTGACTTTTAGCTTTGCCATGCTGTGAAATCATTAGGCCTTCATTAGCAACGGTACTTTGGATTTTGAGTTTTGATCATTTCTCTGGCTGGTTATTTTACAGTGTTCTCTCTCAATGCTGGGCAGAAGCAGCCCCCAGTCAGCCCCACAGTCAGGAGAGAAAACAACCAAGGCTCCACAGTGTGTTCTGTTGCTGAGCAAGGATGTCAGATAGTTAGGGATATTTTTTTATTTATGGAAAGGCAGGAAGACACGGATCTCCTATCTGCCGGTTCATTCCCCAAATGCCTCTAACAGCTGGGGCTGAGACAGGCTGAAGCCAAGAGCTGAGACCTCCATCTGGGTTTCCCATGTGGGTGACAGGGACCCAAGTACTTAAGCCATCACCTCCTGCCTCCCAGGGTGCACATTTAAAAAAATTATATATATGTATATATGTATATATTTTGAAGATTTATTTATTTGAAAGGCAGAATTACAGAGAAGCAAAGACAGAGAAAAAGAGAAGCCTTTTGTCCGCTGGTTCACTCCCCAATTAGCCGCAACACCTAGAGCTGGGCCGATCTGAAGTCAGGAGCCAGGAGCTTCTTCCAGGTCTCCTATGTGGGTGCAGGGGCCCAAGGACTTGGGCCATCTTCTGCTGATTTCCCAGGCCATGGCAGAGAGCTGGATCAGAAGTGGAGCTGGCACTCGAACTGGCACCCATATGGGATGCCAGCACCACAGGCGACAGCTTTACCTGCTATGCCACAGCACCAGTCTCCAGGGTACACATTAGTAGAGAGCTGAAATTGGGAGCAGAGTTGGAACTCAAACCCAGGAACGCTGATATGGGATATAGACGTCTCAAGCATCTTAACTGCGCACCACATACTCGCCCAGGTTAGGGGTAGTAAGTGCATTTTCAGCTTCCAGTGGGTTTATCCACACATATCCCCATTATAATTCAGGGAACAGTTGTATATTAAAATTCAGGACAGACTCAAACATTTGTTTTGGGTTCTGGAAGGGATCTTTGAGAATGTCTTCTTTATTCTTACATTTCCAATAAACCACAGAGAATGAAGAGACTCAAGGTGCTTTGCGATGGATTCGGGCCTGGTTACCCCAGGCACGTGTTTTCGGTGGTACTGAGTCCAGGGTTACACACTCGTTCTCGTGGAAGCTGCTCAGCCTCCCTGCATCCCAGGTTCCTTACGGCAAGGCCAGTAATCGTTACATCAAGGAGCACTGCGGAGAGGTTCAACGGCATGGAGCAGGTGTTTGATAACCCTTGGCCCCTTGGCCAAAGAAGGAAGCTGTTGTTGCTTACTCTTCATACTGCTGTACGTTTTGTTTCTCTCTGACCTCAGGTGGGCACCAGCGAGTGGCTAGAAGCAGGGTGGAATAGAAAGCGGACACACCTAACCCCAGCCTAGAATTACTGGACCATGGCAGCCGAAGCGAAGGTGACTAGGGCCCTGAATTCTGTGACCCAGGCTTTGAGGGAACCGAAGGTGCTCTCAGTTGGGCAAGAGGAGAATCAGAACAGTGGGACAACCAAGGAAGGCAGCCCCTTGGAGCAGACCCATTTCTTGCAAGAGGACACGTCAAGGCCAGGGCCCCTCAGAGGACCTGCCCCTCTGCCTGGATATGGGCAAGCAGAGAACCTCCAGAAGGAATCTAGCGTGCCCTGGGGGCCAGGCCAGGATTGGGGAAAACTGGGAAGAGGCACCGAGGACGAGGCGTTTGACCAACTGAAGCAGATGCCTCATATGGACAAGGTGTCAGACGTCCTGCAGGAGGTCCTGAGGAGAGACTGCTGGTGGAAGGCGTGGGTGCAGGTGAGGAGACCAGGCTGGGACGCGGCCTTGACTGCAGGAGCTCTCATTCATTCTCTTGCCTGCAGATCAGGTTGCTGTAGGCTGAGTGACGCCCTGGAGAAGGAGCTGTGGGACCTTTCTCAGCCTCCCAGACCGCTATGTCATTCTCTGTGGAGCACCTCCTGAAACTTGTTGGCACGGCAGCCTTTTCTCCTTTGTTTCTTGTTTCTATTCAGTATATACCCTCCCTTCTGTACTTCGCAGTTGCTGGCTTCGTGTCCTCTCTACCTTCCATGGTTTATTTGTCTTGGATTTGCAGTTCTTTGAGGGCTAGATCTCAGCCTCTATGTGTGTGTAGACTTCCTGAGTCTCTCCTGCTCTTCCAGAGGCCGGTCACCTTTGAGGATGTGGCAGTAGATTTCACCCAGGATGAATGGGACTACCTAGATGACAGTCAGAGGGCGCTTTACCAGGATGTGATGTCAGAAACCTGCAAGAACCTGGCATCAGTGGGTGAGAGGCTGCTCCTGTCTTAGGGCCCTGGAACATTTGGTTTCTTTGGGTGGGAAGATCAGCTAACAATTAGCTTCACTGACCCCTAGTTCTATACCTTCTAGGTATGGGTGATTAAGCTCAGGGATAGAGGGAGAGGAGAGCAAAGCCCTTGTGAAGGTGAAGATACTACTTGTAAATGTGATGGTAGTGTTCTCAGATATGCAAATTTTCCTGTTCGTCCAATCAATATTTACTCTGTGCCAGGCACTTTGCTAGGCGCTTTTGAATGTCCCTTTCCTGCGTCTCAGTATCCCAGATGGTGACTCTTAAACCAGGACACTGGAGGTAGCCTATTGTCCCCTTCAGGTATGAAGGGACCAAGCCTGAGATTAACTCTCCTCTCTCATCTCCACTTACCAGCCAGAATATTTCTGACCAAGCCAAATGTGATCGCCAAGTGTGAGCCAAAGGAGGCACCTTGGAGAGCAGCTGTCCGTCCCCCAGACAATGAAGTTCTTTCAGGTAGGACTTGTGAAGGAGAAGAGGAAAGAGTTTGGGACTAACCCTGGAGGGGCAGAGAGACAACTGAGAGGGTCGAGGCTGTGCACGTTCCCCCTCGCTCACACCTGTCCAGCCTGGTCCAACTTGGAAGAGACCTTGAGGTCATTGGCTTGAGCCCCTTGTTTTCAAGATGAATATCCATGCAGAGATGCCCTCTGTTTCTACAGATTGAGAGGTTACTTGTAGGTTGATTATGTCCGTGATCTCTTTGGATCTTAAAGTTCTTCCCAAGAGAAAATAGAAGCAAGGTAGATACACTTGATGAGGGGTCAGAGGAGGAGAGGATTGTTCTTGGGGTGTAGGGTAAGTTCTTGGGAGAGGTACGAAGCCAGGCTGAGCACACCTCCCAGTTGGCCCTGCTTGATCACTAATGACATCTCTTTTCACCCTCAAGTCTCCCAGTTTGTGACAGCCTTTCTTTACCTGTAGGAGATAAGTTCTAAGACCTGCAGTGGATGCTTGAAACCATGGGTAGTACAGAATCCTGTCTACCTGTTCTATATTTTTTCCTACATGTACCTACCTAAGGTAGAGTTTAATTCATAAATTAGGCACGAGACAGTAAACAATAATTAATAATAAAATTATTACAATATGCTATTCTCTCTACCTCTTTGTAACTCTTCCTTTCAAATAAATAAATAAATCTTTAAAAAAAAAACAGAAAACAATAATAAGTGTTATGGGAATATGGCCTTTCTGTCTCAAAACATAGAATTTTCTGTGTGATATTTTTCCACTGCAGGTAACTAAAACCTGGGAAAGCAAATCCACTGATAAGGGGCTACTGTATATTATGTGATCCCCTGTGGGTATCTGTGGGGTGTCTGGGAGTGTGAGCCATACTGAGAATGGGAATTAATGGATTTTTTAAAAAGTGCTTATAAGTTAAAATTTAAATCTCTGACATTTGTGCAAAGATTCCAGTTGAATTTTTATTTCCTTATAATTTGAAAAGCTGAAGGTTTTCTTATCTCTAGCCTATGAGGTCCAAGGGTGAGGCTGAAATGTGGGAAGGGGAGGGCCGAGAACAGGGAAGTGGCTTGGGCTGGACCAGTGTTCTCATCGGAAGCCTTGTGTTGTTCTTCCTCACTCACTGTAGGGGGCAAGAAGGAGGAGCTTCAGGAACAAGGGCAGAGTCTGAGAGACGAGGGCACTGGCGATGACAAGGTCTCCCTTGCTTGCAGAGGCACCCGCCGGAGTCCACCTTCAGCTCCAGCTGGGTCTACAGACAGAACCCCAGTGCTGCAAGCATCCCAGACTGGGCCACCCTTTTCCTGCCTCACCTGTGGTAGGTGTTTCAGCAAGAGCTCCTACCTGTATAGCCACCAGTTTGTTCACAGCCCCAAGCGGACTAACAGCTGTAGCCAGTGTGGGAAGTTATTTCGGAGCCCCAAGGCCCTCAGCTACCACAGACGCATGCATCTTGGGGAGCGGCCCTTCTGCTGCCCGCTGTGTGACAAGACATACTGCGATGCGTCTGGCTTGAGTCGTCACCGCCGCGTCCACCTGGGCTACCGGCCCCATTCATGCCCCGTGTGTGGAAAGAGATTCCGGGACAAGTCTGAACTCAAACGCCACCAAAAGATACATCAAAACCAGGAGCTCCTGGTGAGGACTCTAGACACCATGGCTGGGCTCCAGGCGCCCATTGACGGGAGCCTAGGGCTTGTGGATACAGACCATGCACCTGGGACCAGGGCCCAGCAACCTGAATTTAGAACTCAGGATCCTATGACCAGGAACCAGGTGATGACTGGGAGGAATCAGACAACAGTTATTAGAACCCCGGGGCCTGTGTCTAGGACGGAGGCACCCTACACCAGCGGCCCCTGCCTGGATACCAGATCCAACTCTCTTCCAATGAAGTCCTCGAGATTAAAAATCTTCATTTGTCCCCACTGTCCCCTGACTTTTACCAAGAAAGCGTATCTGTCCAGGCACCAGCAGGTCCACTTTAGAGAGCAGCCCAGCCGCTGCTTCCACTGTGGCAAGTGCTTTGGCTCGGTTTCCAGGCTCGTGGAGCACCAGCAGGTACACTGGACACAGAAGATCTACCGATGCCCTGTCTGTGACCTCTGCTTTGGGGACAAAGAGGGCCTCCTGGGTCACTGGAAGAACTATAAAGGCAAGGAACTGGGCAATGCCCCTAAGTGCTGGGCTGTCCTGGGTCAGTGGCTTGACTTTCTTCATGATGCCTCCCCCATGGCTGGGAAAGACCAGAAGCATGGAGGAAGTGGATCCCCTAGAATCCAGATTCTCAGGAGAGGGAAAGTGAGAAAGGAGGTGAGCAAGTGAAACAGAGCAAAGGAAGCAGCGAGGGTCTGGCAATGCAAATAAACGGCCTTTCTGACTGAGGTCTGTCTTTGTGTTTGCTTTCCCTGAGGACTGACCCTTAGGGTCAGGAGGGAGAGAGGTGAGTCGGTAATGAAGGAAATAGAAAAAAGAAAAGGAAACTCGCATTATTATTAATGAGCACCTAGCTTGTTTCTTTGTGTCTGGTGGGCCATCAAGTAGCGATTTGGAATAAAACAGCTAAGAAGGTGGAGAGAAAGGATGAGGGGAGGGGAGAGGGAGGCCTCCACAGAGGGTGTGGAAGTGGAAGGCAACATTCCAAAGCAGACGGGTTGCCGCCTGCCATGCTTCACTCCCCTGGGTCCTTGTGAGGTGCTCAAGTCAGATGGACCTCTGGCCAGTGTTTTGTGGGCTCCTCTCCATCACTGCTCTTTGGTTGGGGGCTCTCTGCATCCTCACTCTGCAGCTCACTGAGCTCTGTCTTGTGTTTTAGATCCTTAAGTTCCTTCCCTTTTACCCTCCACACCTCTGAGCTCTGCCCTATCTGGGTCAGGGTCTTGGAAGGAACTAAGCTGGCACGCTATAATTCGCAGTGAGTAGGTTCTTGGTCTCCAGTTTGTGGCCGAGACCCTGTTGGCTGTCACTCTGAAGCACAGGTGTGCAGAGCACCTTTCTGGACTTAGCCAGAGAGTGCTTCCAGGTAGAAGATTGAAGAGAAGAGTGGAAGGATGTGAGTGGCAGAAAGGAAGGGAGGAGTTGGGAAAGAAACATGACAGAAGGAGGAAAGATGACAGAAGAAGGGAAGTCCATTCTATTGGGAATTCATGTTTCTGGAAGTGTGGGCTGGGAGGTTTCCATAGCAAAGAGGCCGGTCAATGTGCAACTTGATGGATGAGACATCCCAAGGATTCATCCCTGGGCCAACCAGGCTCTCCTCCACCCTTGCCAATATGGGACATCACTCAGAAGGGATTTCCTAGAAGAAAAATAATTTGAAAAGTAACAGCTCAAAATTACAATAGCAAAGATGTGGAATCAGCCTAGATATCCATCAATTGATGGCTAGATAAAAATGTGTATGTATACAAGATGGAATGTTGCTCAGTCATAAAAAGGAAAAATCCTGACATTTGCAACAAAATGGATGCAACTGGAAATCATTATGCTAAGTGAAATAAACCAGACCTAGAAAGACCTCTTATTGGTGGAAGTTTATATGGTATAAAAATTGCCTGGGGGCCGGTGGTGCTGTGATATAGTAGGTAAAGCCAGTACCTACCATGCCAGCATCTCAAATGTTTCAAGTGTTGAACATTTTGGATTTCATTTTGTAGTTTTTTAAAAAAAGATGTTTTAATTTTGAAAGTCAGAAATAGAGAGAGACCTTCCATCTGCTAGTTCACTTCTCAGTTGGCCTCAATGGCCAGGGCTGGACCAGGCCAAAGCCAGAAACCAGGATCCAGGAGCTTCATCTGGATCTCATGTGGATTGCAGGAGCACAAATGCTTGGGCCAATTTCTGCTTTCCTAGGCCATTAGCAGAAAACTGGATTGGAAGTGGAGCAGCCAGGACATGAACTCGTGCCTACATGGGATGCTGGCATTGCAGGTGGCAGCATAAGCCACAATGCCAGCCCTAATTTTATAGTACTTTGTTATACTTGTCTTGTTAATCTTTAGTATTAATCTCATTTTAAAATTTTTTGCTGGTCTGTAAAATTCTTAAATTTATTTAATTTTGTTAGGTTTATCTGTCTTTGAGATGCAGAATTTCTGCTTTGGTCTTCCTGTCTTATATGTGTATTGGATCACCAGGTTTTCAAGCTTGCACTGTACAATAAACATAAATTTGAAAAAGAAAAGTCTATATTGGCATTTCTAACATTGAGCCTCTGGGGTCACCTCAGTGACTTGTCTTGGAGATGAGGCATGGGCAGGTGCTCTAGAGAATGGACAAGGAGGCCAACTGGAGTGGATTCTGGAGAGGGGTGCCCGGAAGTGGAGCACAGCACATGGGAGCACCCCAGCTTCCTTCTCTGCCATCTGTAAACTTCTCTAATAGTTGTCTCCTTGGCTTCTACTCAAAGGGGGAGTCCTCCCTCCAGCCCCTCTCCCCCAGGGACTGTGACCCCTAAATAGCCCCCTGTTACTTCTGTCTCCCTTTCCTGGCTTTTTGTCATAGCTTACATGAAAGAGAACTTACGTAGCTCTTCAAGAAATTGCCCTGAAAACAAAAGAGAAACATGAAATCAGTGGAAGATAAGGAGCTCCTTCCCCTATAACCACCCTGTGGACAGCAGGGTTCACCCCATTTCCCTTTCCACTGAAGGACCCCATGGATGGTTCTCCCCAATAGGGACAGAGGAAGAATGAAATCCCAGCTCCTGAATTTTCCTCTGGTTCCCATTTCAGGCTGAGTTTGGGCCCCACTGCTTGGTGAGCCTGTGTGCTGCCCACCCACTGCACCTGCCAGTCTTCGGTGGAGCCAGTTGTAGCAAATGATCAAGGCAACCAGGGGTCCAAGAACCGGCACGATTACAAACAGGGTTATCTTCCAGCAAGGCACCCTCAGGAAGTGGGGATCTGAATCGTTCATCAGAAGAAACAGGGTTAACACGTGTTCCCTCCCGCTGTGCCCCACCCACCCTTCTTTGTATTGGGTTTTCTTACCCTGGGGCCCAAGAACACCAAAAGACCCAAGACAGAATCCAGGGAGTCAGTGAACTTGGATGAAAAAAGTGCTGCTTTGTGCTTTCTCTAATCTCTAACTGGCTTTGGCATTCTTTTTCATTAAAGATAAAGGCAACAAATGAGCATCCTCAGTACCTGAGACTATGGCCAATGGAAACCACAGATGCTTTCGTTCCTGGTTCAGTTGCAGAAGTCACAAAATTATATCTGTCAGTATCTTGAAATTACAAGTTATTAGACTTACTGCTACCTTGTTATTTAAAAAAACATGCTTCTGAATCACAAATTAGTCCAAATGCTAATCACAATATTTCAACACAACTTTCTTTATAATCCTATGTTGTAGTCTATGTTTATTTTTAAAAACATTTTGAGAAGAGGCCCAGTAGGTTTCTCTAGATGGCCAAAGAGGAAATTCCTGGGACAAAAAGAGTTCATACCTTTGAGATTCTAATTCTACAAAAAAAAAATCCTGTTCCTTCTTTTTAGGTGTTCAAAGACTGTGTGTGTGTGCGTGTGTGTGTGTCTGCATGCCCATCCAATGTCATAAATCCTATGATGGAACTGTCATGTGTACTAGGTGCCCGAGGAGCAGAGTAGGGTCACCCATGACCCTGAGCCCCAGGAAAAGGTATTAGGAAGGCTGCTCAGAGCGGGGGCCACCTGTGCTCTGCCTGGTGCCACCTTAAAACTTTTGCAACTCTCATTCAATAAATTTCTGGGCACCCTTCTGTTGTAGGCCCTGTCTGTAGGCATTAGGCAAGTGAACTAAAAGGGCAGAGGCCATAGCCTCTAGTGGTCAACTTTCTATTGGCTTTTTGGTGGCTTCACTCTCCAGGAAGCTTTCTATGATTAGTGATAGACAGTTATTCTGTCTCTATTCCATGTGAAAATTAATTCTGCCAGGTAAGCACAGTGGATACTTTTTCTCTTATTCAAGTATGTGTTTCACCTCTCCAATTTATATGCCAAGAATCTGTTTATCTTCTTTTTGACATTTCTGAATATAATGTGCATAGTGGATTAGCAGAGTGTGAGTTAACATTTGTAAAGCTGTTAGCATGGGTACCAGACACATACATAAAAGGGTATATAAGTATTCACTATTATCTTCCTACTCCAAGTCAAATGCAAGTGGCCACTTATTGAAGAAACAGTGAGAAGAGGGAAAGGCACCCAACTGGGAGCCAGGGTCCTTGCTCCCCTAGGGGACTGGACCAACACCCAAGTGGAGGCAGGAGGGCAAGGATAGGCCCCACTTGCACTTACCAAAAGTTCGGTGGAGATTCTCTGAAAGAGGAACAAATGGAGATGCCTTTAGTATGGCCTTCAAGGGAGATCATCTCTATGGTGAGTCTTATTTCACTACTTCACTAGTGTGACACATGACAAAGGAAGGGAAGCTGTACAACTTCACTTCTACCCTGGCTGGCTGCAGTGGGGAGCAATGAACCTTTCCACAGTTGTCGGCTGGGTTATAGGAGTTTTGTTTTAAAATCTCATGGTGTCGGCTTATTGTTATTAGAAAGGCAGAGAGACTTCTTCCATCTCCTGGTTCACTCCCCAAACGCCCAAAGCAGAAGCTTTGGGGCTGTGCGAGGAGTCACCCACATGGGTGACAAGGAATGCAAATACTTAAGCCATTGGCCACTACCTGCATATTAGCAGGAAGCTGGAATTGGGGGCAGAGGTGGAACTCCATTCCAGGCACTCAGATCTTGGATGTGGGAGTCCCATTAACCTGCTGCACCACTACACCAGCCCAGATTATAGGAGTTTTAACTGATGAGTTTCCCAGAAAATGACTGTTTCAGTTATGCTGAAAGATTGACAGGGAGGATTTGGGGAGGGAGGGTGCCTGGAACTCACCTATCTCTGCATGAAGTTTTCCTAAAATACAAAAAAAAAAAAAAGGCAACAGTGTTAGTTCTTGCACCAAGCCTAGCTGCCTGCCCCGGAGCCGTTGTGTGATTCCTCTGCAGCGTGACACTCTGTCAAGAGGTTAGGAAGAGCGCTGCTTTTAAAAGAGTTCAGGCTCTTCCCCACCTCTGTCGCCTGGATCAAATACTGGAATCAAGAATGCAAAGCGCCTCAGTAAATGGCAATGCCCCAAACCATCCCCAGATTTTATTGCCTCTTCTGCTGCTTTTTTTGGTGGCTCCAACTTCCCGTTGCCATGCCACCCTGCTGGGTTGTCACTTTGAGCGAGGAAGGGAGGGGCTGCACATTCAGCTTTGTGACTGGCCTCTCCATGATGCTTTCCCTTTAACTCTCCCTACAGCTCAGGAGGGGGGAGGTTGGCTCTACCCACAGCAAGGCAACTGAAACTTGGAAGACCCAGGAGCCTTGCTCAGAGTTCAATGCATCCTGACTCCAGCATTCAGATCTTTATGCCCAGCGATGAGGGCTGGGACTTTCTCCATAAGGGAGGAGCAGGGAGCTGAGCATCTCGGATGAACCCAGGGTGGGAGAACAGATCCCATGTTTGACCCCACCAATACCCATCTCCCCTCACATGCCCCCAACCACATTGCTGCTCCGTCCTCTTGGTGATGGCAGGGGCAGTGGAGGTCCTTGTGCGTTGGCACTGGGGGGAACTCTTGGTACAGGAGAGAAAGCTCAAGGCGGAACTCTTGGGCATAAAAAGGAGCCTTATCGACAGCTGAATCTGAGACCCCTGTGTTGAGTGGACAACGTGGAGGCAATAACTTTCGAACGTACTATGTGTGTGTGGGGGCTTTCACTTCTTTTAATTAAGCCTCCTAACAGCCTAGACTTGTCTGCCTTTGAGTCCCCGGTTGCATGAAGCTGCTAGGTGTAAGACAGAGGCCTGGGCTCTGCCACTGACAGCATCAGCCTCAGTGGCTTCCTCTATAAAATGGGGCTGTTGTATGTCAGACTGATCTCATAGGGGAAGACAAGGTGGCATTATGCATAGGGCCGCGTACGGGAAGATCTAAAACTTCTCATTATTGCGGAATCATGAATCCAGAAATCTCTCAAAAAAGAATTGTTAACTGACCTAATGTAGATTCAAATCAAAATAGAGTAAAATGTGGCTAACAGTTAATTGCAGATCTCTTGCTTCTGTACATATTAGCTTTGTTTGCTAAAGGCTAAGGATGTATCTTGTGAAACTATGTGGGCCCGTATGCCAGGAACTGAGAAAGAGCACAACTGGAGTGTTCTGCCTAAGTTGACAAAAATGCCCCCTGCACTGTTATCTTACAACCATATTCTGGGTTTGTTATTGTTCACTGCATACCAGGGGTTCGAAATTGTGGACAGAAATCTATAAAAATCTGTGTAACTTGCTGTTGGGGGCTGCACTCTGGTAAGGAGTGTCGATCTAGATCGGTTGCTTGCCTCTTATTTTCAATAAAATTCGCGTGTGACTGTCACTGGTTTTTGTAATATTCTATTTCAGCTGATGAGCAGATGCAACACTAGGTCTAAGGGGCCAGCTCCTGCCAGGGAAGGGTGGTGACCCCCGCCTCCACCCGTCGCCCGTACCTCTCAGTCTGTGCTGCAGGCAGAGGAAGACGAGGCCCACGGTGACCTGCAGGAGGAGCACGGGAAGTACAGCGATGAGAACCAGCATCCCCGGGTTGATCCAGTAGAAGGGATCTGAAAGGCACAACCAACAGCGCCAGCTGTCTCCTCAGCACCCTGTGCAAAGCGGTTGTGGAAAAATGCACAACCTCCCACATGCTTTAACTCATCACTAATACAATACCTAATCCAATACAAATGCTGTGTAAATAGTTATTATATTACATTGTTTGGAGCATAACCCAACTAAAAAAAAAGTCTATACATGTTCAGTATAGATCACTTTTTAAATTTTTTTTTCAAACTTTTTTCCATCTGTGGCTGGTTGAATCCACAGGTGCAGAACCCACAGTGACAGAGAGAACATAAGAGTTGTTGTTTTACTTTTTGCACACATTTTGTAGTTCATGAAGCATTAGAATCATTCAAAAAAGCCAAAATTATCAGCCTCCTGATGGACAGCAATAAAAGTATATAGCATTATCTACGAAGTATGCTTGCCAAAATGAATCAAACCTGAATCTGATCAGACCTCTGACTATCAGTTTGCAGGAAATTCAGGGCAGAGAGGAGTGTGTTAAAGCCACCTGGGGTATTATTAGCAAAATTCAGACTGTGAGAAACCCTGGGGGCAGACACTAACATGAGGATCCTGCTTGAAATCGATTATAAAAACATATTTATGAAATAATCAGGCATGTTTCAACACAGTGTACACATTTGATGACATCAAGGGATTTTTGTTGCATTTTAAAGATAGCATTGTGATTGTTTTTTAAAAGAGTGCTTTTATTTTTAAAGATTCATTTATTTATTTGAGAGGCTGAGTGACTGGGGAAGGGGAGCAGTGGATATCTTCCATCCGCTAGTTGCTTCTCGAATATCTGCAACAGTCAGGTTGAGACCCGACTGAAACCAGGAGCCAGGAACTCTACCTGGGTCTCCCACGTGGGTGGCAGGGATCCAAGTACTAGGGCCATCTTTCAGGTACATTAGCAGAAAGGTGGATTGAAGGTACAGAGTAGCCAGGACTTGAACCAGGCACTCTAAGGGGACCTGGGTGGGGGTGTGGGGGGTCCCAGGCAGTGGCTTAAGCTGCTGCGTGACAATGTCCACCCCTAAAAGAGTTCTTAGTTTGAACGCTACCTTCTTGAGCACTTGACAATGAAATGGTGTTTCTGCCGAGGCGTTGCCTCAGCAATGCAGTAAGAGTGGGGAGCAGGTCGCACAGGTCACCCTTGACTGATAACTGTTGCAGCCCGTGATGGGCATTGCAGACTCATCTTAATATTCCCTCCACTTTCGTGCCTTTTCGACGTTTCATAACGAAGTTTAGAGAAAGGATTAGAGACAGGAGTAATAAAAATCACAAAAACAATCAAAAAAGTTTAAAAAGAGAAATCAGAAACTCCTTCACAGAAGAGTTCATTACACCAAAACACAATTTTATAGTAACAAAATACAATGTATTTCAATTACAGTTACTACACTGTCTCCTTCTAGGATTCCAGGGCTAGGTGAGCGGTCCCTGTTCACTTGTAAAATAGTCCCCTTTTTTTGAGATTCTTAGGCATGCAGACTGCTAGGTGGGAGGAGGGCATTGGAATGTGAAAGTCAGCCCAGAGGAAAACTTTCTCCCCTGAGGCAAAGTTTTTTTTTTTTTTTTTTTTTTTCCTCTTTCTATTTTGCAGTCGGTCACGGTACTTAGGGAGTCCTTTGGGAAGGCAGTTTTTTTTATTTTTTATTTATTTTTTTATTTTATTTGACAGAGTTAGACAGTGAGAGAGAGAGACAGAGAGAAAGGTCTTCCTTCTGTTGGCTCACCCCACAAATGGCCACAACGGCCAGCGCTGTGCAGATCCGAAGCCAGGAGCCAGGTGCTTCTTCCTGGTCTCCCATGTGGCTGCAGGGCCCAAGCACTTGGACCATCCTCCACTGCCCTCCCGGGCCACAGCAGAGAGCTGGACTGGAAGAGCAGCAACCGGGACTATAACCTGGCGCCTATATGGGATGCCGGCGCCGCAGGCGGAGGATTAACCAAATGAGCCACGGCGCTGGCCCCCCCTTTTTTAAAATTTTATTTATTTTTAGGATCTATGTATTTATTTGAAAGACAGCATTTGAGAGAGAGAGGAAGAAAGGGGTGGGGGAGCACTAACTTCCATCCACTGGTTCACTCCCTAAATGTGCACAGTGGCTGGGTTGGCCCAGTAGAAGCTGCTAGCTTCGCAGGAGGCACCACAATGCTGGCGGCCCAGGAGGCAGTTATTGCTCTGGGAAGTTACTGAGCAGGAAGGACACAATTTGCAAACTGGAGAAGTCCTCACTATCAGACTCTGTGCAGGTAAAAATTCCCCAGTGAAAACAGCTGTGTGTGTAGAGTCAATCAAAATGGAGTGAGTGTGGCTAACAGCTAATTGCAGATCTCTTGCTTCTGTACATATTAGCTTTGCTTACTAAAGGCTAAGGGTGTATCTTGTGTAACTGTGTGGGCCCAAATTCTAGGAACTGAGAAAGGGCACAACTGGAGTGTTCTGCCTAAGTTGACAAAAATGCCCCCTGCACTGTTATCTTACAACCATATTCTGGGTTTGTTATTGTTCACTGCATACCAGGGGTTCGAAATTGTGGACAGAAATCTATAAAAATCTGTGTAACTTGCTGTTGGGGGCTGCACTCTGGTAAGGAGTGTCGATCCAGATTGGTTGCTTGCCTCTTATTTTCAATAAAATTCATGTGTGACTGTCACTGGTTTTTGTAATATTCTATTTCAGCTGAGGTGTAGATGCAACATGTGAAGAACATTCTGTGACAGCTGTTTTCATATCCCTGCCGTCATCTCCAGAGACAGGGCTTTGTTATCGCACATACAATGCCTTCTTCTGGTCCCTGCACCAGACACAAGAGTGATGGATTGTCTGATGCTTGCTCTGCAGGTGGGAGGGAGAAGGCTCAGGCACTTGGACATTTTTTTTCTCCAATGAAATGGCAATTAACTTTCAAAGTCCCCTCCATCTGCTTTATCTTGTCCACATCTGAACTGTCCCAAGATGGAGCAAAAGAATAAACTCCAGGATCGTCCCTTGACAAAACACAGTGGGAAAGAAGTTCTGGAGATGGCCTACATGTCAGTCTGTAATCATATCAGGCATTTGCTTTCCTTGTTTTTCATTGGGACTATGTTTTGCCAGGAATATGCTTTTCAGAAATTTTCCTCATCCAATGAAACAGCACAAATATTCATTGTAATGAGATTTCATCAATCTGCCTCCTAAGGAGTAACATCTTTGTAAACCAAAGAACATCCAAGGTCAGAGAAAGAAAGTCCACTTGGATACTTAGATTAACTTTCAGATTATTCCTATTCCCCTCTAGTAGCACAAAATAATCAGAAAACCATTACATTGGATTTTTGCTGCCTTCATTTATCAACTTCTCTCTTTTGGTTTTTATTTCTTAAATTTTTTTTTTCTGGGGCCAGCACTGTGGCGCAATGGGTTAAAGCCCTGGTCTGAAGCACTGGCATCCCAAATGGGCATCAGTTCTAGTCCCAGCTGCTCCTCTTCCGATCTAGCTCTCTGCTATGGCCTAGGAAAGCAGTAGAAGATGGACAAGTCCTTGGGTCCCTGCACTCACGTGGGAGACCCAGAGGAAGTTCCTGGCTCCTGGCTTCAGATCGGCGCAGCTCCTGCCGCTGCAGCCTTCTGAGGAGTGAACCAGCAGATGGAAGACCTCTTTCTCTCTCTGCCTCTCCTTCTCTCTCTGTGTAACTCTGACTTTCAAGTAAATAAATAAATAAATCTTTAAAATTTTTTTCTTTTTCCCACATATACATATTAGATGTACCTTTTTATAACAACTCAAATAGATAATCCTATACTCCTCTTTAAAAAAAACTCATTTATTTGTTTGACAATCAGATTTACAGAGAGAGAGGTAGAGACAAGAGAGAGAAAAAGAGAGAGATCTTTCATCTGCTGATTCACTCCCCAAAATGGCCAGAACAGCTAGGGCTGCATCAAGCTAAAGCCAGGAGCTAGGAACTCCAATCTGGTCTCCCACATGGACAGCAAGAGCCAAGTACTTGGGCCATCCTCCACTGCCTTCCCAAGCACATTAGCATGGAGATGGATCAGGAGTAGAACAGCTGGGACTTAATCCAGCACTTTGATATGGGATGTTGTTGTCATAAGTCTCAGCATAACTGGCTATGCCACAACACTGGTGCCCCTCTTCTGTTTTATTTTTCAGCTGGATCACACACTTCTTCTTCTTCTTCTTTTTTTTTTTTTTTGGCAGGCAGAGTGGACAGTGAGAGAGAGAGACAGAGAGAAAAGTCTTCCTTTTTGCCGTTGGTTCACCCTCCAATGGCCGCCATGGCTGGTGCGCTGTGGCCAGCGCACCGCGCTGATCCAATGGCAGGAGCCAGGTACTTCTCCTGGTCTCCCATGGGGTGCAGGGCCCAAGTACTTGGGCCATCCTCCACTGCACTACCTGGCCACAGCAGAGAGCTGGACTGGAAGAGGGGCAACCGGGACAGAATCCGGCGCCCTGACTGGGACTAGAACCTGGTGTGCTGGCGCCGCAAGGTGGAGGATTAACCTAGTGAGCCGCGGCGCCGGCCTGGATCACACACTTCTATGCTATTGCTTTTCCCTCTTCCCCCAGACTGAACTATGTTAACTTTCCTGCGATTATTTTTCATTATATTTCTCTGATTATATATGTATGTATATTTATATGGGTATTTCAAGTTTACAGAAAATAAAATTAAAATAGAAGTTTATTTTGTTATAAAAATGTTTGAAATTCATCCATGTGAATGTATATTTAGAAATACAGGGTCATGTTTTGTTTTCCATGTTCTGTAGCTTGCTTTTCTTACCCAATGATGCCTCGTGGATTGCCTCCAAGCTGTTGGACATAGCTCGAACCCAGGCTTTTTAATGACTATGTCATATACACGGCTTGGATACTATTGCTGATGCAGTCTCTTCCCTACTCATGAACACTGACTTTGATTCCAAATTCCTTTGCACCAGAAATAGAGAGGCAGCAGAGATTATGAGCATATCAGCTCCTGTCTCCTGCTGTGCATATTTCTGTGGAGTGGATTCCCAGGAGTGTGATGAGGCCCTCATCTCAATCAAATGACTGGACTATCAAGGGACGCCATGGCCCCTCCGCAGGTAGATAGTACCTGACACTGTAGGGCAGTGCTCACCTTCCACTTTCAGCTCCATTGCTGCCTCCTCTTGGTAAGAATGATCTCGGAAGAAGCAGGTGAAGCCTCCCTCATCTGAGAACCTTACCCTTCGGATCTTGAGGGTCACCTTTCCTTCGCCAATAGTCTCTTTCAGCAGCTCCGTCCGGCCCCGATATTCTGGCGCCTGCTCTGCGTCTTGGTCCCTGCCGTTTCGGTAGAGATGCACCACCCTGGAGAAGGGGGGGCGGTACCACCCCACTTCCATGCCTGTAGCGTTCTTCCCAGGAGATATGCGACATGGCAGCTCCACCTCATCTCCCACCAGAGCCCGGATCGGGTGCCCTGGTCCTATCACTCTGAACTGTCCTGTCCAAGACACCACAGGAGAGAAGGAGGGTCAGAGGGGAACCTTCACAAACAAGCACAACGCTAGAAGGACTGCTTCAGACAGGGGAGAAAGGAGATGCCTCATTCTTATGTGGAATTCTGGAGCCAAGAAGGGGTCTCTGGCTGAAGAGAGGCTGTGTTTTGGACAGAGCATCCTAGCCCGTCACCATTCGGTCATGGCTGCCCACCTTTCTACCAGTTGTATCCATCTCTGCTCAGCCCAACCTTTGGGTTCCTATGTCTGTGGCCCAGCCTATTGACGTTTAATTCCCATGGGCCTCCCTGTGTGGACTTAGCCAAACCGATGCCTATTCTCCCTTAGAGTCTTTGCTTTTGTGGCTCCATCCACTTTAACTGCCTCTGTGCCCCCTCCCCAGCCATTTCCCCCGGTTCTCGTCCTGTTCCCCAAGTTCCCTGCTGAGACACAAGCCCCCACCCCCATCCCTGGGGACAGCTCTGTCAACCTTGCTGCAGCTCCCGGCCCCTGCTCCTCTGGACAGGTTGCCAGTCTTTCCCATACAGAACACGTTCTCCAACTCAGATCTGAGCTGCTGGAAATAAGGCTGGTTCCTCCTGTAGACCTGGGGAGATTTCTCCAGAGTGCACAAGACTGAGCCTTCTTTATCAGTTAGTTGCTGTCTGAGGTTAGGAATCTGCTTTCTGCTTCCTTTATTTCTCCTCTGCCCTGGAGGGCAGGGCTCCTCTGTAAAAACATATTGGTGCCTGATCCTGCAGAGCGAGCTCTCAGTCATAGGACAATTCAGCATTTATTGAGATTTACTGTGGACAGGCATAGGGCAGCATGCTTACATAGCTCATCTCATTTAGCTCTGACAGTGACTCCAAGAGGCTGTTCTTGTTTTATGGCTGCTTGGGAGGGGGAAAGCCAAAGCTGGAAATAGCGGCTTAAGGAGGACTCTGAGTTAAAGTCACAGGAAAGAGTTTGGATCTATTCTGAAGGCTGCAAGGACCCCATAGAAGTTTTAGGGGAGGATTTCTGAGCAGATCTAAGCTTTAGAAAGTCAACTTGCATAGCAACTTGAGGGGGATGGAAGGAGCAAGCCCAGGGAACATGGTCCTTGTGTTCTAAGTTCTCCCCAGGGCAGGAATAACCACAGGTCTTACCTGCATGGCTGGAAGACAGCTGGAGGAGGAGGAGCAGGTGGAGGGAGAGGAGGCAGCTGGGCAGGGAGGAGCTGGACAAACCTGTCATCTCCATTGTTAGCGGGCACACTGAGCCCCGGCGGCTGCAGGGTCAGGCCAGGCAGAGATCCGCGGGGAGCGTGTCCCCTGCCAGTGAGGCGCCTGGGGGCGGGTCTGGGAGGGCAGTGCTGCCCAGGCCCTTCCTCCACCACAGTTGCTGCCACAGCTGTGCCCGCCAGAACAGCCCACGTCACCCTTGCCAGGCACTTACACAAAAGGGCTTCAGAAGAGGGGAGGATCAGGGCTCGCCTTCCCCACCCGTCCAGAGCATCGGAGCGATGACTGCCTGGTACAGGGCCTTCCACCCCCATTCCAGGAACCCAGCCTTCGAGGTGGGTGTCTGGGGCCGACCAGTGGAGACTGATCACTCGCTGGACCTTGGGAAGAGGCTTGTTCATGTAATCTTCAGGTTCCTTCATTTCATCTCACTATCTTGGAACCAGCCAAGGGAGAGGAATTATTGTTGGCTCTTAAAGAAATAAGATGTCTACTGTTTCCCATTACTATTGTCTCACAACCGTCATCACCAGGCTGTTCTTGCTGCCTCTGTTACTGCAATGCAAACATTCTTCCTTGTGATTACATCCATGATGAGTTGCTGTGGTTCAGTCTCCTTCATGCCCCACAAGATGCACTAAGGTGCACAGCAGGAGCTGGTGGTCACCTGTGCCTGGAGGGAACAGTAAGGGCAGCACCTGTGTGAGTCAACGCACACAGAGCCAGCATGCAGGACACAGCCCATCATTCTCTGATCTCCTCAGTGTCACTGGGGAAAGTGAAATCCTAAATGGAAATAGGACCTTTGTCCTTACCCTGGGATTTAGCTTGTGAGAAACACAATGTGAGACCAGCATTGGCACCGAGTTACAAAAATGTGCTTTCCAGGGCTGCTTCTGTGTGTGGCCGGTGAAGCTGCTGCCTATGATGCTGGCATCCCATTGGGTTCCAGTCCCAGATGCTCCACTTCTGATCCGGCTCCCTCCTGACGGCTTGGGAAAAACAGTGGAGAATATCCCAAGTATTTGGGCCCCTGCCACTCATGTGGGAGATCCAGATGAAGCTCCTAGCTCCTGGCTTTGGCTTGGCCCAGTGCTGGCTGTTCATGGCCATTGTGGCCATCTTGGGAATGAACCAGAGGATGGAAGATCTTTCTCTCTCTATCTCTCCCTCTCTCTTAGGAATTCTGACTTTCAAAGTAAATAAATTCTTTAAAAATTTATTTTCCAATCTTAAAGCAAGGAAGCCTTTGTCAAATAAAAAGAAAAGGCCAGATGGACAACGTAAAATTGTGCTGTCCAATATAGTAATCACAGCCACACGGGGCTATTACAAGTAAAACTAAATTAAATTAAAAATCAAGTTCCTTGATTACAGGAGCCATGTTTCAAATGTTCAGTGGTATTCTAGCTAACATTTACCACAATGGACAGCACAAGCATTTCGAGCATCACAAAGGGTTCTCTCAGGCTACACAAAAAAATTATACTGGGCTGCAAGGGCCGGGAGCACCGCTGGGGCACACTTTTCTGCTTTTGTTCACGATGGGCTAGAAGGACAGATTCTATCAGCTGAGACTTATTTACCCTTTCTGCCTCCAAAGCTACCAGAGTTTTGACACAAGCAGGTTTGGCCTCTTTAGAGCTTTGTAGGTGGGAGTCAAGGTTAGAGGGTGAATTCCATGGGAAAAGGAGCCTCCATGCCTCCCTGGCTTCATCTTGAGTTGGGATTCTCTCCTTCAGAACTATTTTTTAATGTGTGTTTTTTCTTTTTTTTCTTTTTATTATTATTATTTATTTGAAACACAGAGTTACAGAGAAAGGTAGAGCCAGAGAGAGATGTCTTCCACTCTGCTGGTTCACTCCCCAAATGACCACAACGGCCAGAGCTGAGCTGATCTGAAGCCAGGAGCCAGGAAACAGGAGCTTCTTCCGGGTCTCCCATGTGGATGCAGGGGCCCGAGAACTTGGGCCATCTTCTACTGCTTTCCCAGGCCATAGCAGAGAGCTGGATCGGAAGAAGAGCAGCCGGGACTCGGACTGGTGGACATATGGGATGCCGGCACTGCAGGCTGGGGCTTTAACCCACTGTGCCACAGCACCCGCCCCTCTCCTTCAGAACTTAAACTGTTGTGGAATGTGGAATTATGCACTAGATGCTTCCTCCAGGAGGGCTTGGGTGGAAGAGTGCTTGCCTTTGTCCAGCCCCAGACCAGCTGTCAAAAGCTGGCTAGGAGATTGTGGGGGCGGGGGAGGAGGGAGAGTGAGAGAGCAGAGAAGGTCAGGAGCTTGCCCATCAAAGCCACTCTGGAGAAATCACAGCGTCTCTGAACAAAGCAAACAGGAAAACAATCATCTTAGTGAATGCTTTCACGTCCCACTCTTCCGAGTGCCTTCTGTGCATGAACTCATTTGATCTCACACCGTAAAACAAATGCCACACTGTTCTCACTCATGTTTCACAGAAGTAAAGTAACTCACTCAGGTCACACCATTGGGGAGTGGCAGAACTGGGGTTTCAAGCCAGGCTTTCTTGGCACTGGCAACCACTACTGGTAACCACTGAAGCGTATAGTAAGCTTGCCTTCCTTGACTCTGTGCCCTTACCTGCCTCAGGTCTCCTGAAACGGGGTGGATTCTTGGCTCTGTGGCAGGCTGACCCTTGGATAACATGGTCTTGGAGAAATGCGATGTATGTAAGGGGGAAGAGAAGGGAACCACTAGCAAAATGAAGCCAATGGTGGTGTCCCTTGCAGAAATCTGGGGCTGTAGGAGCAACAGGTTTTGCAAAGTGGGTAGCATGATGTGAAGTCATCTAAAAAGAGAACCCACCCTGTGTTGATCAGAACTGGTCGTTTCTTTCAGCGGTTATTTAGGAGTTATTTTAATTGAGGTTATAGCACATGTGATCTTGCAAGTATCCTCAATTTGCTTCTTCTGGAGTTGTGTTGCTCTCCTCAATAACTTGACTTTCAGTTGCATTTTTCATCAGGTCTAATAACAGGTTGCCTGCAGTCACCTATGCACAGTGACATTGTCTGAATCCAATGACTGCATGCTAGTTAATGAGATTTCTGTAAGTGGAACAGTAATCATTCAATCAATGGCAGTTTGCCCACATTGTCACCCACAAACAGCTTTTCTAGGTCACGTGTGAAATTCATATCTTCACAACTTGTCTATATCACACATGAAAATAGACACCTGTTCTGCTTCCTGTGTTTCCCACTTAATGACTGATTCCACACTATACAAAATATGGGTCTCTCATATTTGAAAATAATGATTTTTTTATAAAATATCACAGCTTGAAAGCTAGTAATCCCAGGGACAGAGTGGGGTTTGACTGTCAGGAAGGTGTGGCGGCGAGACCAACCAGGAACATGCCAGAGGCGGTGATGGCAGAAAGTGCCTTCAGCTTCCAGAAGTTACTGGATCAGTGAAAGAATCAGGAGCTCAAGGCTCCTGGAGGAACTGCTACACCCCCAGTGTATGGTCAGCTTCTAGCTTTGTATTTACTCCATCATGATGTGAATAATGCAAGATACTTTGGGAAAATAATACCACCTGCTACAAGCTCTGCAAATTCTGAACTTGGGGGAATTTGGTCACTAGGGCAAAATCTCTGGCAGAGGGATTTCCCTGGGATCTGCACAACCATCCACGCTCACCAGTGGTCTGAGATGGCCAGGCAACCCTGGAAGCACTGAGAGATGCAACAAAGAGATGAGATTTTGCCCTGGTCTTTCAAGCATACACCTCAGTAATTGCCAGTGACTTTGCAGCCTTGGTTGGGCTTCCTGTGGAAGAGGCTGTGAGAGGTGTATTGGAGCAAGGATGGCAAGCCGGCTCCATCACGAGGATGGTGCTGCCTGGGAAGCCAGGTGCAGGGGTCCTGGATGGTTCCTTTAACAGATCTATTCACTGATCAGAGCCTGCCCCAGCACCACGGATTCCTAACAAGTAGCAACTAGCCAGACTGACCGATTATGTGGCTTTCCTGGAAAACTGGTCGCTGAGTTCAAAAGATCTACCTTCAGGGGCTGGCGCCGTGGCATAGTAGGCTAAGCATCTGCCTGTGGCGCCAGCATCATACATGGGCACCAGTTCCAGTCCCAGCTGCTCCTCTTCCAATCCAGCTCCCAGCTGATGGCCTAAGAGAGCAAAGCAGTAGAGGATAGCCAAGTTCTTGGGCCCCTAGACCCATGTGGGAGACCCGGAAGAAGTTCCTGGCTCATGGCTCCTGGCTTCAGACCGGCCCAGCTCTGGCAGTTGTTGGGAGTGAACTAGCAGATGAAAGACTTCTCTCTCTGTCTCTCCCTCTCTCTGTCTGTAAGCCTCTTAAGTAAATAAATAAATCTTAAAAAAAAAAATTCGCCTTCAAAATCCTGTATACTGACTCATAGAGAGATGTAAAATTTTTATTTTCAATTTATTGGCTGGATTAAGCACCTCAGCATTCCTTACTGAGTATGTGATAACATACATGTAGAATATAAAGTGTATTATGTACACCTTGTCCTCAAACATGCTGAATAGTCATTGAAACAATTCTCCACTTGTAAGACTTTGCAATTTGATGGCGCCTGTCAATATTACAGTTTCTATTTCCTAGTGACTCAAAATCAGCTTTCCGCTTCATGCAGGACGGTGGTTGTCAGTGGTCTCTGCCCTGCCCCAGCACACACTGCGCGCCCGTCTGTACTGCTGGCTGGTGCTCATCACGACTGGCTGGGGTTTCAGGATTGTCCCCATGGGCATCCCTGGACTGCTGGGGATTGCGGCTCACCCTCTTTGGAGACTGTGCTATCTTTTCTCCCCACCTCCTGAGAATCACTAATGTGGAATATAGAAAAATAGCCAAGCAACAAATAAAGAAACCGTTTCCTTAGTAACCCCTCCCCCAAAAACCAAAAGAAAGAAAATCTAGTAATCCAAAGCAAATCTGTAGGAGGGCACTTCAGCGAGCCTGTGGAGGGGCTGACGTGGCTCAGCAAGTTCAGCAAGTCAAGCTGCCATCTGTAACATGAGCTTCCCTTGTCAGAGCATCAGCCTGAGTCCCGGCTGCTCTGCTTCTGACCCAGATCCCCGGGTCAAGGAGTTTTAAAGATGGCGGGCCCCATGGCCCACCACGTGCTGTATGCCTGGTTAACAGAGCTGTCTTTTAAGCCAT